CCATTCTGAGGGCTGTCTATTCACACTAATTACTGTGTCTTTTGCCATGCAGAAACTTCTTAGTCTGATGTAATCCCACTTGTCTATTTTGGGGATTATTGACTGTGCTTTGAGAGTCTTGTTTAAGAAGTCTTTCCCAAAAAAAAATTTTCCCACTGGATTGACTGGTACCCCTTGTCAAAAATCAGTTGACTGTATGTTTGGGAATTTATTTCTGGGAACTCTATTCTGTTCCATTGGTCCATGTGTCTGTGTCTGTGCCAGTACCATACTGTTTTGATTACCACAACTTTGTAGTATATTTTGGGGTCAGGGAGTGAGATACTGCCCGCTCCACTCTTGTGCAGAATTTCTTTGGCAGTAAGGGGTCTTTTATGATTCCAGACAAACTTCATGATTGTCTTTCCTAGATATGTAAATAATGTATCTGGTGCTTTGATTGGCATTGCATTAAATACGTAGATTAATTTGGGTAGAATTGCCATTTCGATTATATTAATTCTTCCAATCCAGGAACATGGGATATCCTTCCACTTTTTTGTGTCATTTTCAATTTCTTTTTTTATCTTCTCGTAATTTTCCTTGTGGAGGTCTTTAACTTCTTTGATTAGATTTATACTTAAGTATCTCGTATTTTTGTGGCTATGGAAAATGGAACAACTTTTTTCAATTCAGTCTCAGTCTGCCTGTTGTTCGTATATAGAAATGCTATAGATTTCTGGATATTAATTTTGTATCCTGCAACTTTACTGCATTCATGTATTGTTTCCAGAAATGTTTTCATGGAAACCATTGGGTCTTCTATGTATAAAATCATGTCATCTGCAAATAGAGTTTCACCTCTTCTTTTCCTATTTGAATGACTTTTATTTTTTCTTCTTTTCTGATTGCATTGACCAGTACTTCCAGTACTATATTGAAGAGGAGTGGAGAAAGTGGGCATCCTTGTCTTGTACCCATTTTTAGTGGAAAAGCTTTCAGCTTTTCTCCATTGAGGATGATGTTCTCTATGGGTTTTTCATAGATAGCTTTTATTGTGTTGAGAAATGACCCTTGTATGCCGATTTTGCTGAGTCTTAATCATGAAGGGATGTTGTATCTTATCATATGCTTTTTCTGCATCAATTGGTATGACCATACCATTTTTATCTTTCTCCTGTTAATATGGTGTTTTACATTTATGGTTTTGCATATGTTGAACCAACCTTGCATTCCTGGAATAAAGCCTACCTGATCATTATGTATAATATTTTTTATAAGTTGTTGGATATGATTTGCTAGTATCTTGTTGAGAATCTTTGCATCTATATTCATCAGGGATATTGGTCTATAGTTTTCCTTCCTGGTCCTGTGCTTATCTGTTTTAAGGATAAGGGTGACAGAGGCTTTATAGAATGCATTAGGGAGAGATTTAACCTTTTGGGTTTTTAGAAATAACTTGAGCAGAATGAGGGTTAACTCTTCTTTGAAAATTTTGTGGAATTCAGAGGTGAATCCTTCAGGGCCAGGGCTTTTCTTTGTTGGGAGGTTATTTATTACTGATTCAATCTCCTGGCTTGTTATGGGCCTATTCAGACTTTCTATATACTCCCGACTCAGTCTAGGTAGATTATATGTGCCCAGGAATTTGTCCATCTCATCCAGATTCTTGTTTCTTGGCATACAGATGTCCATATTATCCTCTAATAATGTTTTGTATTTCTACTATGTTGTTTTGCCTGCTTCATTGCAGATCTGATTCACCTGGTTCCTTTTTCTCTTCTTAATAAGTCTCACTAGTGTTGTATCAATTTTGTTTCTTTTCAAAGAACCAGCTTTTACTTTCATTTATTTTTTGTATACTTTGTTTATTTTCGATTTCATTTATTTCTGCTCATATTTTTTTTTTTTGGAGAGGTTTTTGCTATAGGGCGCGTACGCTCTCCAGACAGACAGAGACAGAGACAGAAAGCAGGAAATCACCCCCCAGGGGGGATGACCACGCCGCAATCCCTTCTCCTCCATTCTCCTCTCAGGATCTTGGGCACGCACGCACACGTGTCTGGCGTGAGT